TAATAATAATAATAATAATAATAATAATAATAATAATAATAATAATAATAATAATAATAATATGTATGTGTTGTCATCATCGTATGTTCCATACAATGGCAAAATTGGCTCTGCATTTAACCCATCCACCCCGGGTGGTGCAGTGGGCAGCTATTGTGGGTGCCCGGGGGACATTTGGGGATAGGGTGTCCTGCTCAGAGACACCACGAGATGTGCGATGACTGAGGACTGAACCTGGAACTTTCGTGTCCCAAGTCGGCCGCCCTGCCTCTACACCATCTGAGCCCCCGTCATGTGTGGAGCACGCAGACTTCAGGTCTTCAGATGGACTCGTGTCTCCTCCAGGTGATAACACCTCGTCACCGAGGCGCAGACAGCAGTTCGTCACATGACACAAACATGCCCGGTCCGAGCTGCTTCACATCAAACTCCTGACCTCCATGACGAGAACCGAGCAGAACTGATTTCTGCTCTGACGTCATTTAATGTTGCAAACTCATGTGAGGGCTTCATTTTAAAATCAGAGCAGAGCTGCTGCCCGATGAAAGCTCAAAGTTCTCCCTTCGTGCTGCATGTGATCCGTGTGGCGCTCTGCAGTGACCCCTACCTGTGAGAAGCCCGACCCCGCCATGCTGTAGGGGCGCTGCTGTCGGCCATGCAGAGCCGCAGCGCTCTGTGCGGCCATGCGGGCGTGGATGCTGTAATCAGGGACGGGCAGAGCCATGTCTTCTCTCTCCAGAAGGTTTCCTGTGCTGCTGCTCTTCCCGTGGTGGAGGCTGGGGACACACAGGGACAGGACGCAAGAGTCAGTGGTGGACGCGTCACGGCTCGGGGTGGAAACATCTGCTAAGACGCTTCTTCTACACGCTGCGTCTCGTCACATTTCAGTGAGCCGATTAGAAAATAAAGCCCACAAAAATCAAAGCATCAGATGTTATCGTCTACAGAGGAAGGCCTACTTGTGAACTCGAAGTTGCCTCGTGGCGTCTCCGTTACTCTCAGAGATCACCTGGGTGTAGGAGAAGGGAAACCAGCCGCGCCTGCACATCAGCAGCACACAGAAACGTCACACAAGAAGTCCACGTGTCCGTCAGAACTCAAAGGACAGACGGGACTCACATCCTGGTCTTCTCGTTCTCCCCGTAGTGCCAGCCGTCGCGGGCCTCAGGAACCAGCAGGGTGATGACGTCGCCCTCGGAGAAGCTGAGCAGCGTGCTGTTATCGCCCGCTGCGTGCGAGAAGATGGCCTGGACCCGGGTTCTTCCGTTCCTCTCCAGACCTGCAGCCATGGAGCTGGAGCGGGGCAGAGTCCGGGTCTCCACTGGAAACAGCAGGAGTAAACGTTGTTTCTCACTTCCTGTAACTCGCACGTATTAAAGCTGCACGGGTCGTTCTGGACGCATAATAATCACTTTATTATAAAACCCAGACTTAACGCCCAGTTAAAGCTCATTTTAACAATTTATAAAAGAGAGCCAAACGAGAGATAAACGAAGCACTAAGTGAAACACTAAAGTCCTAAAAGTAACGCTTTATGTGCTCAAAGTGCCGTGTTCTGGTGTGGATTCATGAATAAAAACAGCTGCTGTTCACGTTTTAGTCAAAACTACATGGAGCCTCTTGAGAGGGTGTGAGGGGCCGCGTGTGGCTCGGGAGCCGCAGCTTGCGGAGCCGCAGTTTGAGCCGACCTGTTTAAGGCTGTGAGCTCGATAAGAGCCTGAGCTGAAGCTCACAACCTGTTGCACAACCTGAACAGTTAAACTCTCACACTCTGCACCTAATCCCTTAAAGAGGCTTTCATGCTGATCCTTCTCGGAGGAAACCTGCGCCGCTCGCTGCTCAACCTTGTGGCCTCAGACAGGAAACAGTCGGGGGGTGTTCTTACGTTGAGTGGTTTTGCTCTTGGCGGGGGCGGCCTTGCGGACAGGCAGGGTGTTGGAGTAGACCTCCGCTCCGTTCCGCTGGGCCTGCGGCGACGCCTTGGCCTTGGCGACCTTCCCCTCCACCCACTGCTGGTAGTCCTCCCCCCCGGCTGCACCGTTCAGCACCGGCATGGATCCGTCCACGCCCCCCATCAGCCTCTGTGACAGGGAAGACATCGCTCCATCAGCTGTTACATCACTTCCTGCAGCTCGTTAGCAGCAACCGAAGGCCGAGAGCGGATCTGGGTCAGAACGAGCTCGTTAATCAAAACGCTGCAGCTTTGGAGACAAACAGAGAGAGTGACGGAGCTCAGACCGAGAGATGGAGCCGGGGGGGGGGGGGGGTCAAAAATTACAGCATCTCTGGTAAAAGAACAGCTTGCTAACGGGTCCATGCAGGACCAGAACCTCTTGAAAAGTCCAAAGATGGGTCTCTCAGGCAGCTTTGGCTGCGTTTGTGCCTCGTTTTTGATTTATTTTCTTTCAAAGGGATTATTTTATTGTGAAAGCTAAAACTCAACACAATAAGACACAACAGGAAGTTAAATAAAACTCGTGCTCCGGTCACACACAGACACATACGAGTTCTCAGTCCCTGCTCAAACGGACCCACGAGTCAGAGTCAGAGTCCGGCTCCACCGCTCCTCTGAGCCTCACTGCGAGGACACAACGACACAACAACACAACAACACGACAAAACAATAACACAACAACACAAC